TCCTTATTCTAACCCCCAGTTTCCACAAAAACAACTTTCCCCTGCAGTCTCGGTGAGTGTTTTTAATTGGGAGATCCTATGTACTGGACTTAGCAAGCAAAAGCAAGGAGGTATAAAGATAAAAAAACAGAGAAATCGTGCAGACTCATGCCTTTTTCCCCTGGCACTGCGCAGGCAGTATAGAACTTCAAGCTGCCTTTCTGGGCCCAGCCCAGCTGTGGGCTAATATCTAGAGTCCCCTTCTGCCAGCAGCCCTGTGGACCCCCTTCCACATTCGAGGGCTACACTGACCCCAAGGGCCGTGGATTTGCTGGGGTGCAGTCTCCCTCTGAGACTCTAGTCCCCACTGTGTGCATCTCTCCCTCCAGCCTGGATCCCAGATCTCACCTCTCTAGGCAATATTTGACTTTTCCATCCATGGATTGCCTCACTAGCTGTGTTTAATTCACCAATTACAGGTGGATGTTATTTGATTCAGCTGTTCCTTCTGTCTGCTCTGTGAGAAGGCACAGGGCCTGTCCACGTATTTGGTGCCGCTTTGTCCCCACCCTGGACAGACTTTTTAGGCGCCCATGGTCAGGGAGGCTGGATTGTCAGTGTTTGTGGGTTCATAGCTGAGACAGCTGGTCCCTGAGCATTGTGGTTGTAGGGTCCTGGGAGGTTTCCGAGGTCTCCCCAGTTGAAGGTAAGGCTGTGCTTCCAATCACAGCCGGTCTCCCCTTCAAGATGGCACAGTCTCTGCAGCAGAGCTGGCTGCTCTGGGAGAGATTTCAGCAGTAGTAGAGGCTGCCCGGCCAGCGACGCCTGGTCTGCCATTCCCCAACAGTCCCTTGGGATATGGCTGTCCCTCACTCACAAATACAGTCACTCCCCACATTCCACACACTCTCCTTTCGCTCTCACTCAGACACTATCTTGCAGCCTTCCATCCCATCAGCAGCCATCTTTAGTATCTCTCTAGCTTTTTTATTCACTCATCTACTGATGGGCATTTAGGCTGTTTCCAGAGCTTAGCTATTATAACTAATTAACTAACTAACTAAATAAATAAATAAATCCAATAGAAACATAGTAGAATGGTCATTGCCAGAGGCTGAGGGTTGGGAAAAATGGGGAAATGTTGGTCAAAGGGTACACACTTTTGGTTATAAGATGAATAAGTTCCAGAGCTCTAATATGCAACATGATGACTATAGTTAAGAACACTGTATTGTATATTTGAAATTTTCTATGAGAGTAAAGGTTTATATTCTCACCATAACAACCACAAAATGATAATAACATAAGGCAAAGAATGTGTTAACGAGGTTGGCCAGTGTGACTCAGTGGTTGAGCATCAACCCATGAACCAATAGTTCACCAGTTCAATTCCCAGCGGAGGCACATGCCTGGGTTGCAGGCTTGATCCCCAGTAGGGGGCATGCAGAAGGCAGCGGATCAATGTCTCCCACTCTCTCATTGATGTTTCTATCTCTCCCTTCCTCTCTAAAAAAAATAACATTAAAATAATGTGTTAACTAAATTTATCATGGTAAGTAGTCCGCAATATGTATGTGTAACAAATAATCACATTGTACATCTTAAATGTATATATTTTTATATGTCAGTTATATCTTAGTAGAGCTAGAAAACATTTCTACTTTATTAATGGCTGCCTCATAATCTGGATGCCCCATGTCCTTGCTTAGAAACCTTCATTTGGTGCATCTGCCGATGTTTAGGCCTGGCTACAATGAACTACTCCACAACATTTCTGATAACAGACATTATATCATTATATGATTTCAGGAGCTTCTTTCAGTAACAACAACAATACTAATGGTTAATTTTTATCAAGTAATAATTTTCAGGCATTATAAATATCTTACATGTATTTACTCATGTACCCTACATTATAACTTTGCCACTATTATTATCTCTAATTTATAGATGAAGAAACTAAGACACAGAGAAGTTAACTAGTGTGTCAAAGGCCTCACAGCTAGGACGCAAACCTAAGAAAAATTGTCCCAGAGCCCATGATCTTATCTGCTCTTTTATACTGCCTGTAAAATGCCAAAATTATCTTCCCAATATTTTTGAGGATATGTTTTTATTAATTTTTAGAGAGAGAAGGAGAGAGAGAGAGAGAGGAAACATCTGTGTGAGCCAGGTGAGAGAGAAACATCAATGAGTTGTCTTCAGTACACTCTCCTACCGGAACTTAACCCACAACCCCGGTATGTGCCCTGACCAGAATTAAACCTGCAATTTTTTGGTGTATAGGACGATGCTCCAACCAACTGAACCACCCGGCCCAAACTGTCTTCCCACATTTCTGGTGCATTTTCTTCAGGATTTTTAAAAAATATTTTTTTATTGATTTCAGAGAGGAAGGGAGAGGGAGAGAGAGATAGAAACATCAAAGATGAGAGAGAATCATTGGCTGCCTCCTGTGTGCACCCTACTGGGGATGGAACCCTCAATCCTATCATGTGCCCTTGACTGGAATTGAACCTGGGACCCTTCAGTCCTCAGGCTGATGCTCTATCCACTGAGTCAAATCAGCTAGGGCTCCTCAGGATTTGTGAACTGTGGGAATTATTATATGATATTTTGGAACAAACGGAAACACATAAGAGGCAGACAGTGAGAGAGAACTAACTTTTATGCTTTTATATTGTAAGCTATGTCTAAAGCACCTTCATATCTGCTTCCACAATGGACCTTGCAAGTATTCTAGAAGCCTTGTAGGATAGCTATAATCCTATTTGTCAGAAAGTAAAATTGAGGCCCTCAGCTCTCAGCTTAAAACTATTTTTTCCTCCAATATCACACTGGCTAAAAACTAAATTGTATCTAGAAGGGAACATTTTATAAAATTGGCATATGTGTCTTATTTCAGTTCTTGTTCTGTGATATTTTCATGGAGTTTGTATCATGAGATTGATGCTTTCATCATTGATCCATCAAAATAGCTTTAGGTCTGTCTAAGTTTTCTCTAATTTACAGCTATAATTGTATCACCTGTTTTCAGAGCTGATACCTTCAGTCAAAGAAAAAGAGGATGGAAAAATATATTTACTTTTTTAATGGACATAAACAAAAGGGAAGTTAAAGCAATGCACTAGGTCAGAATAAATGAGTTTTACCATATTACAGAGTTTTATTCTATTTCTCCTATAAAATACACTGAGGCATATAAGCATTCCTTAATCATAGCAGCTCTAAAGTGGAAGAAGGTATTCAAGGCAATGAAGTATTTTGAACTGTGGAACAAAGCTATTGTCTTTACTGATAGTTTTTTTCAGTGATTTTCCTTTGCTTAGATCCATAGAATTTCAGAGCTATGAAGATTTTTGGAAGTACAGGGAAGTGAGTTTTGCCTTGGGAGTCAAAAGACCTGGGTTCTGATTTACTGCATGACCTTAGGTGAATCCTTTCCCTCCCTGAACTTGGTTTTCCTGCCAAGCAACAAGATGGAATTGTTCTAGGTCAGTTGTTCCTCAAACTTTCGTGTATATTAGAATCACCTCAATGGCTTGCTATAACACAGATTTCTGAATCCCACTTAAAAAATGTGATTTAATACATCTGGGAGTAGAACAAATACCCTGAATTTTTAACAAGTTCTCAGGTGATGCAGTTCTTCTGGTCCATAGACCATACTTTGAGAACCACTTTTCTAGGTTACTTCAAAGGGTTTCAGTGTTTTAGAGTTCTAAGTTAGCTCATTTAGAAGAGTGGTTATTTAACCTCTTTTCAATTATGGGATATGTTTTGGAATCTAATGAAGGCTATGCACTCTCTACCCAAAATATATGTAAATATAATTTTGCATACAACTTAAGAAAGTGTGTGGGGATTTTATCTTTGTATGCTTGGCTATAGGTCTTCCAAGTTAAGAATTCTTCATTTTGAACAATCCTCTTTCCATTGTACAGATGAGGAAACTGAGGCTCTAAAGCCTGGGTGGTATATAACTATTATTTACAGATTCAAGAAACAAACCTAAGAGTTTTAAAACTTATGGGCTAATTTGGGAATGCCACACTCCCTCAAGTGTCATCAATCAAGTAACAGACTTTTCCCACAGGAATTGTTAGAGGATTTTCCAAAGGGCTACAATATGTTCTTTCTAAAAACCAAGTTATATGCCAAAATGGCTAAAAATCTGAAAGAGTCTGTCCCATGAGAGGCAGCAATCCAAGAAAAGAAAGAAGAGGGGCTCATACAAAACTCTCTTTTTTTTTCCACAACAGCATTGAATCCCAGAAGGACCCACTGATTGGATCATTTGATGAGATAAGGGTGGCCAAGAAAAATGAGGAAGCTGTATTTAAGGTTAGTATTGTTTGATTTCTCCATGGCTCCAAGTTGCAAGATATCTGGAGTTTCCTTTGTGAAGCAGTCCTTAAAGTCACCCACATGCCTTTTGGGACTGACCCAAGATATAGAGTCCAGATTGCTGTCAAGAATAATATGTGGAATCTAATGAACAAAATAAACTAATGAACAAAATAGAAATAGAGGCATTGATACATGGAACTGACTGACAGCTATCAGAGGGGAGCATGAAGGGAGGACTGGATGAAAGAAAGTGAAGGGATTAGCCAAAGAACATATATTCATAACCCATAGACACAGACAACAGTGTGGAGATGGCCAGAGGGAAGGGGGGAGGGGCTAAGTGGGGGTGAAATGGGGACATCTGTAATAGCGTCAAAAATAAATTTTTTTAAAAAGAGATAAACTGGTAAGACAAATTGAGAGCTCGGGAATGAGAATGGTGAAAGGTCCTTGGAAAGTATTTAACCTAACCATCCTTTTAACATGAAAAATTGAGGAAGTGATTAGTGATATAACTTACAAAAGACCACAGTGCTAGTGGCAGAAGTGTGGGAATTCAAATTCAGGGCCTTCTAGTCCTCATAAAAAGCTTATTACATTGAAAATGATAAACTGGAAAAAATAGGTCAAGACTCTAAATCCTAAAATAAAATTAAATGAATAATTTACCCCATTAAAATCATTAACACAAAGCACTTGGGAGAGAGCCTTATAAAATGTAAATATCAGATATTATTAATATCACTAAAACACTAACTTATGGCTGCTGTCTTAGCCAAACAGATCCCACCTTGAAAATCCAGCCACTGAATCTGGCACAAGTTCTTTATCACAGAAACCTGGGATTCTTTCTCTTGAAAACCTTCCGAAACAAAAGTAATTCTATGCAACACTCTAACACAGGACAGCAATTCATCACATAAATAGTGTTCCAATGCAATATTCACAGTAGATTATGTTCCAAACAAATCCCAGCATCTTTTATCACATGGTGTGGAACTAAGATATCACTGAAGCATTTCCTCACAGCTAAACAAACAAACAAAGAAAAAAGAGAGAGAAAGAACTCAAATACACTTTAAAACCCTTCCAGTTTGTCCCTGATTCTCGCTAAACACTAATGATGTCTTCTGCTCCATGGGAATATATTTAATGGACCTTTTGCCAAGCCTGGCACTTAAAAGCCAATCAGTAATAGGACAACTAGACAGAAGACCAACAAGGAAATAGAATACTCGAACACCACTACAAACTACCTAAAATTAATAGGTATCTACAGACCATTTCACTTGACAGGAGCAAAATATATGAGCTTTCTGGAATATATATGAGGCCACATCAAAATAAAAAGCTTCTGCACAGCAAAAGAAACCAACAAATAATGAAAAGAGAACCCACTGCATGGGAGAACTTATTGGCCAATGTCACATCCAATAAGGGGTTAATTTCCAAAATATACAAGGTACTCACACAACTTAACAAAGGGAAGACAACCCAATTTAAAAATAGGCAAAGTACCTATGTAGACACTTCTCCAAAGTTGACGTACAGAAGGCCAAGAGACATATGAAAAAAAAATGCTTACTCACTAATTATCCAAGAGATGCAAATTAACCACACAATGAGGTATCACCTCACACCTGTCAGAATGGGTATCATCAACAATTCAACAAACAACAAGTGTTGGCCAGGATATGGAGAAAAGGGAGCCCTAATACTATGCTGGTGGGAATGCAGACTAGTGCAGCTACTGTGGAAAACAGTATAGAGTTTCCTCAAAAAATTAAAAATGGAACTCCCATCTGACCCAGTGATCCCACCTCTAGGAATATATCCTAAGAATCCAGAAACACCATTCAGAAAGAATATAGGCACCTGTATGTATATCCCCAATTTATAATAGCTAAGATTTGGAAACAGCCCAAGTTCCCATAAGCAGATGAGTGGATAAAAAAGCTGTGGAACATTTACAGAATGGAATACTATGCAGCTGTAAAAAAAGAAAGAACTCTTACCATTTACAACAGCATGAATGAACCTGGAGAGTATTATGCTAAGTGAAATAAGCTAGTCAGAGATAGATAGGTATCACATGATCTCACTCATAAGTGGAATCTAATGAAAAAAACTAAGTGATGAAAAACAGATCTAGTGACATAGAAGCAAGGAACAGAATGACAAATTTCAGAGGGAAGGTGGGTGTGGGGGTTGGTTGTGAAATGATTAACTGGGGTACTTATATTAATTTATGGACACAGACAATTGAGTGGTGAAGGCTTAGGAGGGGTAGGTTTTGGGTGGAGGCAATCAATGGGAAAAAACAAACAAACAAAGGTGACATCTGTAATACTTTCAACAATAAAGATAAAAAAGATAAACAGTAGTAATGAAAATCTCAGCTAAAATCATAGTTACAGATAAAAGATTGAAAGTTTTCACCCTTAGAACAGGAACAAGACAAAGACGTTCACTCTTGCCACTTCTACTAAAATTATACTAGATGTTCTAGGCAGGAGCAAAAGGCACCTATATAGGAAAGGAATAAATAAAATTAT